CAGTAATAAATCACAGCAATAGTACATTCATGTAGTTGTAAACAGCATGATAATATATTAAGTAATCCAAAGTATTCAGAATAGTTACTCTCATTGAGTAACGTAACCGAATACGTTACAGAATACATTTTGGGGCATGTAATCTGTAATCTGTAGTGGGATACATTTTAAAAGTAACCTTCCCAACACTGGACATTACTAATGATCACTGATCATACAAGCACACTTTGATCATATAGATCATGACGTTGAGCTCATACAGCTTCTGAGTTCTTCATGTGACGTTCAGGGTTCAGCTGTGAGTTTCACTGCTGCTGATAAAAGCTATAAATAAATATATATACAGGTTCTGAATGAAAAGGAAAAACACTTAGACATGATCTGCTCCGCTTTGGTTACTATGATTATGTTTGGTCGGATGGGCCGTCACAACGAATTATGGGACGCCATTTTCTCCTCCCTTTTCATAAAGATGGTCCAGTGTCTCCTCTGCTAAAGGTCATAAAGGAAGCATTGAAGCTTCTTCCCCTACTGCATGGACAACTGAAACAGCTCTGACTATGGCTGCAAAACTAAGGAAAACTGACCTTTGGAATCCCAGAGTGGAAAAAGAAAACGTGAAACACACACAGGAAGTACCAAACACTGCACTTCCTCTAGGGTCAGCAGAGGCCCCAGCTGGTTAAACTTTATAGCACAAATAAACATGTTTCCATTTTTAATTATTTAAATTAGAAACAAATAAAAAGAAAATTACACATCAGTGCATAAAACTGCATACGTCACTTCCTGCCGTGGTGGGGCTTTTATTTTGAAGGTCATGGTCAGAGTCAGAGCGGAAGCCTGTGAGACGCCACCGTGCTAACAGCTAACACCGGGGTATAGTTACCCGAGCCAACAGGAGCACACACACCTGCAGCGCGGATCGACACTCACACATACACACACACCGTCCCTCATGTTGCTGCGCCCCTGAAGTAGCTTCTTGAAGCTGCCCGTGCACGCGGACATCTCCATGGCGACAGAGGAGCTCTACGAGGTAATGTGAGCTAATGCTAACATGCTAAGCGGCGGAGTTTATGAAGTTAGGAAAGTCGAACAAAGTAGGCAGTTATCGACTGGTCGAGTCCGAGGCAGACGGTTGGAGAGAAGTCCAGAGAAAAACGACAGCTAGTCGCTAGAGGGGCCGCACGTGAGCACAGTTAGCGCAATGGTAGCTGTCTGTTAGCCTTCCGGTGTCTCTCCCTGTAACTGTCCTCGCGAGCCTGCCGGAGCTCACACTTGAGGTGGTCCGTGCCCTCCGGAGTTTAATCTAAGCTTTGATCTGATTAGTAAACAATACCTGTAAATACTTCACAATGTGACGTCACCAAAGTAGTGGCGTGATGCTTATTGTGGGCTCCGCCCTCTGTCCTCCAGGTGGAGCGGATTGTGGACCGGCGCAGGAACAGGAAAGGTCGGGTCGAGTACCTGGTCAGGTGGCGAGGGTATGGCGCTGAGGGCGACACCTGGGAGCCCGAGAGTCACCTGTCCACCTGCATGGCGTATGTCCACCAGTTCAACCGCCAGAACGCCGAGCGCCACAGAGACGGCGCCTTGCTGCGCTCCACACGCAGCACGCCTAACCTTCACTGGGGCCCCGTCCACAAAGCGCCCTGCAAGCCACATGCCTCTCGCGGCGACGTCGATGCGGACATCAGAAGCGGTTCGTGCGACCGTAACCAGGCGAGGTCTCCTCCGAGCCCACCTCAGTTGCTGCCTGCCAACCTGCCCCGCCCCCTACAACAGCCGCTGCCGGCTGACAGCTTTGGGCTGATGTCGGCGTCTCCGGCCGGCCCCGCCCGCCGTAGCGTGGACTTGTCAAAAACAGGCATCAAGATCCTGGTCCCAAAGAGCCCGATGAATGGCCGCCCAGACGCCGAGGAGTCGCCCAGCGAGGCGGCACACAGCCTGGAGGCAGGCGAGGCTCAGCTGGTCCCACCAGAGGTCGCTCTGCTGGAGAAACCGCCGTCAGGGATCCAGCTGGGGCCTGGAGAGGAGCGAGCGCGCATGGGGACCCGACCCCGCAGTCAGAACCCACCGCCGCCACCACGAGCCCCCATCACGCCAGCTGCCATGCGCTCGCTCAGTGGCAGAGGTGAGTCCCGCCCAGGGGGGGAAAAGCATGCTACTGTCATCGCCAAGATCAATCACTGATCAATCAGCGATCAATCAGCCAAATGGTGTAATCAGTCAGCCACAGGATCGATCCTTAGACTGATTGATCGGTTACGAGGCGGCGCTCAGGTGAGAGCAGCTGTGTTTCTAACAGCCAGTAGGAGAGCTCCTCACAGCCTATGACTAGTGATGTATGAGAACAGTAAGCTCCGCCTCCTTCCTGGTGATTGGTCGTTGTCCCATGACCTGCTGTTTCGTCTGTGGACAGGAAGTGGGCGTTCTGATGTTCTGCATTCTCTCTAGGAAATTCGCCACTGATTGAGGGCGTCGCCGTTGGTGGGATGTCGGGTCTGCAGAGTGCTGTTGCCGGGGCGACCACGGTGACAGGGAAGCGGCGCCTGGAGGAGCGCTCGGCGTTCGACAAACGGCTTCGCTTCAGCGTGCGTCAGACGGAGAGTGCGTACCGTTACCGTGACATCGTGGTGAAGAAGCAAGATGGCTTCACCCACATCTTGCTGTCCACCAAAAGCTCTGACAACAACACGCTCAACCCGGAGGTGAGGCCCCGCCCCTGCGGTCAGGCTGCCCCCACATGCCCAGAAATTCACCTCTGTCTCGTCCCTGTCAGGTGATGAAGGAGATCCAGAGCGCCATGGCAACAGCGGCGTCGGACGACAGTAAGCTGGTGCTGCTCGGCGCCGTTGGCAGCGTTTTTTGCTGCGGACTGGACTTCCTGTACTTCATCAGACGCCTGACGGACGACAGGAAGAAGGAGAGCATCAAAATGGCCGAAACCATCAGGTAACGCGCGGCAACGCAGCGCGGCGTCTAAGGCTGCAGCCGTTATACAGTAACTCAAACGTACGCCAACGTTTGCTTCGTTTAAACGCTGTAGCGCTGTGTCGTCGGCATGGAAACGTGGCCAAAACCAGACCTGCAGTAGAAACGTATCTGCGAGCAGCTTGAGGGTCAAAGCTATGACGTCATTCAGCCCACTGAATGACGTCATAGCTCGCGTGTTGTTGTCCAGGCCTCCTCGTTATATCGATACAGAGCCGAGTGTTTGTGTGCGAGGCAGAAACGTTTCCTGTGACAGCAGCCTCCGTTTCCTGTGACAGCAGCCTCGTGTGCAAACACAGATGTTTTCTACAAAACGCAGTCGGCTGCCTTCCTGCCGTCTCACATGAAGCTGCAGCTCTTTAGGCCTTAACTGTGCTGCCCGATCGAAGGCCCCGCCCTCCTCTTCCCTCAGCCCGCCGCATATATCTGGACAGCACTCTGTCCCAGTCATGGTAGGGATGGGTACCGGTGTCCGGCGCCATGATGGCACTGGTTCTGACATAAACGGTAGTAACCAGACCAAAAAGCAGCGCACATTTCGGTGCTTTTTTCCTGAGATAGACACTTTAGATTCTAGCCAATCGTTTTTCGTTTCCGAGGATAGTCGGCGGGCCCAGGTACGTCCGTTCTATTAGAGTGTTTGCTTAATTAAAGGATCTCGTCGTCTTCGTCCAGAGTTATAACAGGATGAAGATGCGTTTGTCATGTTCCCTGTAGTTGAGCTGCTTTCCTCATTTTACTTCATCGGGTTTGACAGACCATTAACATTAACAGGAAGGACTGGTATCGTGCCAGTAGTAGACCCAGTATACACATGTAAACATTACAGCTGTATAAAACATGAACTCTTTAAATGATCAAGAAAAAGACGTGCTGACCTCCAGCTGTGGGGCCTTCAGGGGGCTCTCCCCCTCCAATAGGAAGGGTTAGGGTTAGGCTAATGGCGTCCAGCCTGTGGCCATTGTTCTAGCAGTGTTGGTAGAGTGCTCGACTGTTTTACTGTCTTACTGCTCGCTCAGCTGCTAAACTCTGTGTCCAGCCAACATTCCTGCTGTTGGCGTTTTTCCTGAAAGGCTTGTGTTTTTCTGTCTGTGCGCCCTGGCAACCGTGGGCTACGCTCCAATAAAGTCTCCGAGCGTTTGAGCGTCGCTGGTTGAGTCATGGAGCACCGTTCCCTCAAACCTCACCAAAACAGGGTTTGAAATCCTCTTCCCGCGCTGCCTTCGCTCCAACATGTTCCCTTTGTCGCCTTAAAACCTCGGGTGCGTAATCCTGGTGCAGGTGTTTCCAATTCAAGCCCACGTTCCTGCCAGGCTGCCGTGGTCGTGGCGATGGGCTCCTCCCACCTGTAGCTCAGTCGAGTGCAGCTCCAGTCTTTGTGGTAGTCAGCGATCCACTGAATCCGGCGTCGACGGAGGTTCCTCCTCTCGTCCTTTAACCACAGCGAGCCTCTGCCTCGGGCGGTGCCACATGACCACGATCTCCTGACGTAAGACATCCCGATAACCATCTCTGTCCCTAAATGTGCTTTTCCTGTGAATCCGGCAGCTCGACCTGTGCGGTGTTTCCAGCTGGGTGTCGAGTGTTCTGACCGATGCGTGAAACAAGTTGTTTCTTTGTGAGTCTTTGTTCCACGGCATGCTGCGGGGAGGAGCCTGCTCTGACGCTTCAGTCTGAGGTTTACTTGCAGCGCCTCGTCCGTAAACTCTGCATCCTCTGTCACGTGAGAAGAGCTTTGTGGTGTTTGAGTCTGAGGTGGGCACCGGTTTGTGCCATAATGTGCACAGTCCGATCTTCTGGTCCGTGTCAGACGTTTGATAACCGTTTCCTGCTGCAGAGGCGGCGCCCGTTTAGGAATGAGGTCCTGGGTTTGTGCGGACTGGTCATGCTGGGACTCTCTGCGCTCCCATGAAAACATCTCGCTGTAAACGGTAGATTTTATGACACCATGAAACAAATG